CTCACTAGCCCGAAGGGGGCGAGCGGGTCTGGATCATCATCGGACAATGAAAGCGCACCCTCCGATGCCGCGGTGGACATCTGGTCTCCGGTGTCATCGGGCGTAAGGGCTACCATCTGTTAGACGGATCGCTTCCCCCGCCCGAAGCTTGGATGGAGCGCTTAGAGGAGCAGGAGGTCCGCGGGCCCGTGGGCGACGGATTATCTCTCGCTGAAACCCTCAGATCTGCCCGAGTGCCCGCTGCAGAGCAGGGGACAACTGGGGTGGTTCGCCCTTTTGCAAAGGCTAACCGCGATCTTGCGCAACAGTCATGGCATCGCAATGATGACATGAACTGCCCGCGAGCAGCGCATTAACATGCTGGACCCCCAGACATGTAACGCAGTGCCCGCGCCCATCATCCGAGGACAGGAAACCACCGCATCCAGAAACGCACAGTCGGAGCGCCGTCCTGAAAAGGACGTGCTGCACGACTGTGTTGCTCTTTCTGTGAAGTTTGCAACTTTATACGCACCGCTCTGGAGGACCGGACCCAAAGAACGCCAGGCAAGGGAGAAACCCAGCTCGACCGTCTGCCGCTGCGTGTACACACTCTGGACCGGGAGAATGCTCTCGTTCGCTCAGAACCGCTGGTCACAGCAGGAGGAACCCTCATCGACTCGATCAGAAAGTCTCTGAAGCGAAAAGGATAGCGTCTGCTGGCGCCAGGTGAGCTTATATACTCAGTTGATTGCTTATGCCGCTCACCTGCGCAGGCTTGCGCTGCCAATTCATTCTTAATTGGCCCGTTCAATACTCTTTCAGACGAGTAGCTTCTGAACCGAACCTCCCATACGTGGATTTTAACAATCAAATCCACTTATAGTGCTGGAGTTCCCCCCGAAGGGGAACTACAACTCGGCCACTGAACAGAACTACAACTACCATAATGTCTTGCAGCAATCTACACAGCTGACAATAATTCAGACAAACACACAAACACATCACTGATTTTTTTTGTTGTGATCACCAGCAATCTGCAACTGCTCAATTGCTGGTGATCATAACTATTATATTATATTATATTATATTATATTATATTATATTATATTATATTATATTATATTATATTATATTATATTATATTATATTATATTATATTATATTATATTAGGGTGACGCAGTGGCGCAGTGGGTAGCACGTTCGCCTCACAGCAAGATGGTCGCTGGGTCGCTGGTTCGATCCTCGGCTCAGTTGGTGTTTCTGTGTGAAATTTGCATGTTCTCCCTGCGTTCGCATGGGTTTCCTCCGGGGTGCTCCGGTTTCCCCCACAGTCCAAAGACATGCGGTACAGGTGAATTGGGTAGGCTAAATTGTCCGTAGTGTATGAGTGTGTTTGTGTGTGTATGTTTCCCAGAGATGGGTTGCGGTTGGAAGGGCATCCGCTGTGTAAAAACTTGCTGGATAAGTTGCCGGTCCATTCCGCTGTGGCGACCCCGGATTAATAAAGGGACTAAGCCGACAAGAAAATGAATGAATGATTATATTATATTATATTATATTATATTATATTATATTATATTATATTATATTATATTATATCATAATTATTTGACAACTTATCATAATTGTGACATACCTGTAAGACAGACAAGTTGGGTAAAAAACATTTTTGTAAATTTTTATTTCTAATTATAATTTTATAACTTAGTAATTCAATTTTAATATTTGATCATAGTCCCACATTTAAGTTATTTATTTGCACACCATTTTAAAGACACTTTTTACCTGATAGATAATAGAAATGTTCTATCAATTCATTTTCTATTAAGGTACGTTGCAATATGTGATATAATTATGTGTTGTATGTCTGAAAATGTCCTGTATTTCCTCAGTGTTGTGAGAAAAGCTGGATGAGTGCTGTTTTATTCACCTCAGTTAGGATTCTTGGCTCTGGCTTTATAGAGCAGGGCTCAGAGGATCTTTAATTGACAGTTTGAAAGACTGCCTCACATTCACAAGCTGTTAATGGTTTCCATTCCCCACTGCTGACCATTGCCAAAGCTAGAAGCCAGTTCTCTGCATTGAAGGATAGCTGAATATACACTTTTAAGAGCTAATTGTAACTGCTCTTGAGAGCTTACCCAAAAAACATGATTGAACAACTCTTGATGTGTCAGTTGATTCAAGTCCGCAGTGATTTATGATATATTTAAGTGCACAAAACAATCATTTTAGTCATGTCAGTGAGGAAAAGTTATGGTGACTTGCTGTTCAGCGAGTCAGATTCACCCAAGGATTCATTAGAATGAGTCCATTAGTCCATGAATTTGACTAAGCTACTCAGTGATTGTGTGGTGTGCATTTTTACATTATATATATATATATATATATATATATATATTTATATATATATATATATATATATATAATTTACAATTCTCAGTTTCTCTGAATGAGCTAGATTTATTAGTCATGTACTATATTTGAGTAAAATGTTATTTTATTGGAACAATATGAAAATAGGCTCATTTTACAATTCCTTTGGGGTTAACAGTTGAGTTTTACTATTTTTGAATCCATTCAGCCGATATCTGGGTCTGGCAGAATCGCTTTTAGGGTAGCTTAGCATAGATTATTGAATCGAATTTGAACAACAGCAGCTCGCATAACAAATGACCAGAGAGTTTTGATAATTTTTTCATATTTAAAGCTGAAGGGGGTTGGGGGTGTCCTAAAAGGTTGAAAAACCCTGCTGTAGACTATCAAAAAATTGGTTAAAGGGGTTAATAATTTTGACCTTAAGTTTTTTTTTATTATTATTAAAAACTGCTTTAATTCTAGCCAAAATAAAACAAACAAGACTTTATCCAGAAGAAAAAATAGACATTCTGTGAAAATTGCTCTGTTAAACGTTAAATGGGTGAAAAAATTCAAAGGGGGCTAATAGTTTTGACTTCAACTGTATGTACACATTTTAAGTATTATTTGACCTTCAACTAATAACATGCTTTTGTGACACTAAACAGGGTTGTCATTGCTTGCTCAAATATCCACATGCAGTATTGTGGTTCTGACAGGCAGGTTGGCTCTGTATTATTTCCAGTGCTTGACTCTGCTGTCCTCAATCAGTCCGTCTTGGTGACCTCGTTTACTGCTTTGTTCACAGTAGCAATGCATTTTTTATCATCATAGAAATCACAGGCCTTCCACTGACACCTTGTCCTTTGCACAATGGTAACCAAGCCAACTCACTCCGCACTTGTTAGCTGGTTTCAGAGCACAGCACTGCTCGTGTCATTCACTGGGGATTATGTTAGTATGCCCGAATTAAGCTGCTGGAAAAAAGGACATGTTGACAGATCTCGCAGCACCTGAGGCGGTGCAGCAGGGTTGAGTCGAGTGCAGAAATGTGGCTTCCTGCAGCTTGCCCGACACCATAGGTATCAGTGTCGCTGCCCGGCATACATCTTTAATTGTGTGTTTGGGTTCACACAGGGTGAAGTTGTTTGGGGACTGGATAATTGATCCTGTGAATAAGCCGGTGTCAAATATTCATGCGTCTAGCACAACAATGAGGTACCTTGTTAATTGGTAATTTGGTATAATGAACAATTGTGTATTGTTTAAATTATCTTCTGATGCAATGTTCCATGTAAAAAGGCAGGTGTGGGGGTAATAATGTACCTTAACTGTAGTTAAGATCCCAGCAAACAATTTTGTGTTTAAAAGACGCCTAATAGACATCTAAACATAGACCGCTTTCAATCAAATGTACATGTAATATATAAAGTCTGTCTAATCTGTCTATTTGACGACTAGTCTAGATTTGTGCTATTCTTAGACGTCTATTATATCTTCACTGACAGCCCAAATTTAGCCTTGTTTTAGCCAAGACTACTATTTAGATGTCTATTAGACATCTATTCGACATCTTTTAAAAACAAACAATGCTTGCTATGATGTATGTGTGTATGTATACACTGTATATCCATGACGTGTTATGTAAGTGTGTTTACATGTACATACAGTTGAAGTCAAAAGTATTAGCGCCCCTGTTTATTTTTTTCCCAATTACTGTTTAACAGAGGAAAGATTATTTTAACACGTTTCTAAACATAATAGTTTTAAAAGCTCATTTCTAATAACTGATGTTATTTTCAGTCAAAACTCATTTCACAAGGCATGATTTGAATTGCCGACAGCTCCAGATATTTAGCATTCCAAATATCTCACAGGCATCGGCAACTCATCTGTGATTCTCTCAGATCGCATCTTTGATAGTTCATAGTGTGTGATTGTCACTCTCGTGCATGAGCACCGATTTGCCTGTGATTTCAGGCATTTGTCGCCGATGTCTCAACTTGTCGGTGAGTCAAAATCGGGGCTAAAGTCATGCAGTCTGAACTCGGCATTAAGCTGTGGACACACTAGAGTTTGTTCATGCGAAATTCTGTTGTACGGTGCTGTGAAAAGGGACGGGATTAGACAAAATGATTAGACATTTTAAAAAGTGAGCGTCCATGTTTTAAATTTCTGTTTAGAGAGGTCATGTTTTGATCCTCGATTGGTCTCACGCAATCATGTGATGCAATTTCACAAGTCAGAGTTCACCAAGCTTGAACTTTCCAACGCAGCGAAATGCGAAAGTTGCCCCACAAACTTGCGTTTCCGGTCTGATGCATTCCTGTGCATATGAATGGAAGTCTATGGAGAGAAAAATGCAGTGTGGCCGCAACTTTACCTGGAGGTTTAAACATTCCTGTAGGACTCAATAAGTTTGATCAGGTGTGTTTAATTATGGTTGGAATCAAACTGTGCCGAGATGCGGCCCTCCTGAGTTTGACACCTGTGCTTTAAGCGATATGTTCCCTAGTTTTTTCATTGTTTTCTTTACACAGCTAACTATGTAAAGCAATCCCTTTTAATAATCTAAAAAATATATTCGATTGAACGGAGCAATTAAAACTCACTTTTTAGAGCTGAAATGACTGACATTGTGGTGTGTTTGTGTGTTCAGAGGCAGTCGGAGCCCGAGGCCCCAGCGGTGATGCCTGTGTGGATGCAGCCTGTGGAGGATCTGACTGAAGCCGTGTCCGCGTTCAACACCATGGAGGAGGTGATGAAGTACCTGGAGCCCGAGCGCTGGCAGCTGGACATGGATGACCTCTACAAACCCACCTGGCAGGTGCTGGGCAAATCCTTCTTCCACCAGAAGAAATCCAGAGGTGCAGATCCTGCATTTACAAGCAATTGGAGTCACCCGAAACATGGGTTTGGCTTAATAATAGGTTGTGTGTTTCTGTTCCTGTAGGAGCGGTGGATCTGAATCTACTTCGTGAGGACGTGCGGCTCTATAGTTGCACTCCTCGTAATTTCTCAGTGTCTTTGCGCGAGGAGCTGAAAAGGACAGATGCTATCTTCTGGCCCAGCTGCCTGCTGGTGAAGCGCTGTGGTGGAAACTGCGCCTGCTGTTCTTACAACTGCTACGACTGCCAGTGCTCACCCACCAAAGTGGCCAAAAAATATCACGAGGTAAAGCAGAGATCAGAGGCCTTCCATTACACTTCACATTTCACAATATTAGGTTTCTTTCACAAATAACCTGTGTCTTATATGCAAAAAAGAAGCATCTCCTCATAATATCTCTCCTATTTATGGTGAATTCAGATATCAAGCTAGCACATGCTGCAATATTATATATACACTACCGGTCAAAAGTTTGGGGTCAGGAGGATTTTTAAATGTTTTAAAATGAGCTTCTCCTGCTCACCAAGTGTTTGTTTTATCAAAAATACAGTGCAAATTGTGAAATGTTATTGCATTATATAATAACTGTTTAACAGTAGTTTATAATTTAATTTCATAATTTATACCAAGCTTCATTACTCCAGTCTTCAGAGTTGCATGATCCTTCAGAAATCAATCTGTTAATTATTCATTATTAGTATTATTATTACTATTACTATTATTCATTCTTTCATTTTCTTTTTGGCTTAGTCCCTTTATCAATCAGGGGTCGCCACAGCAGAATGAAGCTCTAACTTATGCAGCTTATGTTTTACGCAGGGTTGCCCTTTCAGCTGCAACATGTAACTAGGAAACATCTATACACACTCATTCACACACATACACTACAGACAATTTAGCTTACCCAATTCACCTATAGCGCATGTCTTTGGACTTGTGGGGAAAACGGGAGCTCCCGGAGGAAACCCACGTGAACATGGTGAGAACATGCAAACTCCACACAGAAATGCCAACTGACCCAGCCGAGGCTCGAACCAGTGGCCCATAGTTTGTAATTTGATCTAATAATTTATTCCAGTGATTTTAAAAATGACTTTTCCGCTTCTTTACTCCAGTCTTTAGAGCCTCTAATATTATTATTATTATTATTATTATTATTATTGTTATTATTATTATTATTATTATTATTATTATTATTATTATTATTAATGGAAATAGTAATAAAAGTAATAATGACTGGGGTAAAAAAAAAAATTTAAACTATATACAATAAGAAAGCAGTCATTTAAAGTTTTAATAAATATTTAACAATTTAACCTTTTTTTACATTTAATAAATGGCACCTTTTTTTAAAAATGTAAAAAAAAATTTATTATTAATAACAAATGTGTTTTAGGGTTATTCACCAAATATTAATTTCTGAACTCTGGAGTTAAAATGTTTAAATTCCAGCATTTATATAATCATGTCTAGAAGATGTTACTATTTTTGTTACTATATGGAAAACAGGCTCTAAATTAAATTTGATGATAAAAGAATGAGATTTTGCACAAACAAACAACTATATCCAGAGATCCCCAGTATTTTCCAGTGATTTCTTATTTATTATTTATTACCTGAAAATTAGCACAGTCACTCTGTTCTTAAAGGTATAGTTCACCCAAACATAAAAATATCTTCAGCTTTTACTCATGCTCAGATAGTTTTAAAATTTAATGATTTTTTTTCTTCTGTTGGACACAAAACAAAATATTGTGAAGGCTATTTGGAAGTCACTGGCTGCTGATTTTTTGTGTTTAACCGAAGAAAGAAACTCAAACAGGTTTAGAACAGGTGAGGAGGATCGGAGAATTAAAATTTTTGTAATTTTTCCCTTTAGGTGATGATGAATTTAAGTCTCTTATTTATTGAGTTATATTTATTTTTTATTCCTGTGTTTTGTCACACAAGTGGTAATAATTTTGCCTTCAATTGTACATAGGTATTATTTCATAACTTTATTCTTAATGTCATAAACAAATTGCAAACTTGTAATGCTCCCTTTTATGGAATGAGTACTGTTTGTTGTTCATATTTGCTCTTTGTAATGGTGTTTAATAGTGTTTTTAATGTTACCTTCAGAGTTTGTTCATTCTGAATTAACTTTTTTTAATGCAAATACCGATACAGTCAGTCAGGCAGCATAATACAGAGAGTGGACTAAAGCGCATCAAATGATAGGTAATTAAAAAGGAAAAAAGGAAAAAAATAGAATAAATACATATTTTTATATTAGACACACATCTGATGCTTGTATTTGCATCAGCTCCACACCCACAACTTCATGTATTGGGTTAAATTAGACTTTACAGTCTCCGTGTTCAGTCCATTACCTCCGCTTTATCTGTTCAGCTGAGGGAACGGAACCAACCCTGTGACATCAGACACAGCGACATACACAAGATGGCAGTGCCCTAGCTCTAAAATCTATTGTAAAGCTGTTTTCTTCTAAATGGTTACATTAATTGAGTTTATTTAATATATTTTCTTTCCAGAGTACAAAATTATGAAAACTTGAATGAGTGCTTTATTTGCCCTTTAATTGCAAATAACTAACAAATTCTTTATTGGTCATGTTATATTTATTTTTTAATTGTTTATATCTGAATAAAGCTTTTAATAAAATAAATTCTTTTTAAAATGGCAATGCTGTCATACTGAAGTTCTGGTCATAAAACAAAAGCATATAGAAACTCAAATTCTGATTAAATTGTGAAGTTGTAAATCACGAGAAATAGGGGGGGGAAATGTAATTAAAGAGCTGTTTTAGATTGTGACTCTCAGAATTGGATCGTTAAGTTCCTAAAGAGTCCCAGCCCTATTGTTAAGTACAGTTTTAACATAAGATTCTTTAAAAATATAGTATTTATAAATGAAAACTGATTGTTAAATCATGATGTGGACTGACAGAGAAAGAGACCCACTGTGTGAAAATGGTAACATTATGTTGCATTTAAGTGCTCTGTCTTTTCTCTTTCTTTCTCCGTCTCTCTGTTTGACTGTTGTTGTGCAGGTTCTGATGCTGAAGCACAGGACAGGGGGTCGGGGACTGCAGAAAACCCTAGCAGACGTCCCTCTGGAGCACCACGAGGAGTGTAACTGTGTGTGTAAAAATGACTCTGACTAAATCAGTCCCAGAGAGAAGACGCACACCGGCCCCCCGCAGACTCACCCAGGGAAATACCCCTGCTTTGTGCATAAATGAGCGAAAGATGCTGCAAACTAATGAAACCCAGCACTGGATGCCTTCTTTTTTTCATCTTGACTCATCTAAGCCTGCGGTTCCATTCCTTTTGGCCTCGCAAATCCATAAAGGATTGACCCATAAAGAAGTTTCCATTGGCCTTATGATAGCATGGAATATTTGGAGGGAAATTGGACACGCTCTTGCATTCTCTGTGTGTGTGGAGGTTTGTGAACAATGTGTACATTTGTGGGTCTTTTTTCAGTTCACGTATATAGAGCTGTTCAGGAAATGAGGTATTCCAGGATAACTTGAGGTTGCTTTTACTTGGGGAACAAGTGTATTTGGCGTGTTTTTTTAATTATTATTTTTTTTACAACTTAATATATTAAAGGACCTTGACTATGTTTCTGCTTTCAGCAATAAGTTTTGAGGTGGTGTGGACAATATCCTCAACGTCCCAAAGAAACAAATAACACTGTGTTATAAACCAGCACTCCGTCACCTACTCATCATGAAACTGAAATGATTAATAGCTCATAAAGACTATGCCAAGAGCGATGAACATCATGCCTGCATCTTTTGCTCATTCACTTTGAACTATGAGAACACTAAAGCGAATCTTTGTGTAAATACATTTAATATTGTGATCTGTTGACTTATCCTATATGTCGTTACAGTTTCTGGTACTAAAAGTTTGGGGTATATAAGAATCACTTTTCCCTTTTTTTCATAATCGCTAGTATTTTCAGTATTAGTCACTCTTTTTGTAGAGACATTTATACATTTCTTGTGTTTTTATTTGCGTGTTGAGATCGTCATTCTGACTGGAGACAAAATATTCTGTTAGATGTTCATGTAAATAGACTTTTTAGAAGTTAAAGGGACATTGGAACAGCCAGTACCTTATTCATCTACCATTAAACAGTTAACTAAATTGTTGTGGTTTTCCAAATGACAAATGAATGCGTTGGTCTGCTCAAATAATCGTTACAAAATTGCGATTCCCTATAAACCATGAGCTATTAACTGCAATCTAACTCCAGCAATTGAGAGCATGATACAATTTAAATGATTCTGTATTAAATTGATAGTATTTCACCCAAGAATTAAAAACCTGGCATCATTTACTCACCCTTCACTTGTTCAAAACCTATTTCAGTTTCTTTCTTCTGTTGAAAAAGAAGAAAGATATTTTGAAAAATACTGTTAGCTGGCACTGATTGACTTCCACAGTATTGTTTGTCCTACTATGAAAGTTGATTGGTTTTTAAAATGTCTTCTTTTCTCTTAAACAGAAATAAATAAATAAATAAATAAATATATAAATAAATAAACTCCTAAAGGTGTCAAATCTCATGAGGGAGAGTAAATGATTTTATTTTCAACACAGGCTCATTGTGAAAAGGTAACCCCTTATACATTTCTGGAGAGTGCAAATTATGTAGCCAGAGCTACATTTGGCCAGAAAGCAAATTAAATAAAGTAAACAAGTAAATAACAGGGTGAGAACATGGTAAGAGCTGAAAACGTGGTAAAAATCAGACTTGCTTTGGAAAACACTGTTGCTTGGGTTTTGGAAAAGCGGTGGGCGGGTCAATCGATACATTTGAAAACCCTATTGCTTAGGTTCAGGGAAGGAGGAGGGTGGAGAGATCGGTCGGTCGGTCAGTCAGTCGACAGCTGCCTTTGGTGTATTTACGCGAGAACAGCAGGCACGAATATTACTCATGAGAGAAATTTGAGATCTGAAAAAGCGTACACAGCGGTCTTTGATGGATTTGCAAAAACAAAAACTGCAAAAAACGTAACTCCTGGGATGTATTTCATGCTCTCCAGAAATGTATATTGGGGTACGTATCAATAATGAGCCTGGGTTGTTCATTTTTGGGTTAACTATCTCTTTAAGACCTTTCAGATCATCTTTTATGTCAGTCGGCCATTCAAAAGCTTGATTTTCACAAGCGTTTTAAAGAGTAAATCATCTGTTACTCTCAGCATTCCTTGAACATTCTTATTGATCTCAATCGCATGCAACATAAAGCATCCCATTGCTGAAAAAAATGTAGACCTTGTGTGTGTTAATGTCATAACAAATTCAGTTTTGACTGGCTGGGATAAAAAGGAGCTGAGTAAACAAGACATGCAGCATTATTTGCATCGTCGTCTTTAATCCGCCTTAGATGACCTTTCCCGCTGTCATTTTGTCAGACTGTTATTCTTTGATGTAATGTTTTTGTGACTTTGTTTTTTATACTTTGATCACAAATTCCTCACACTTGGCAAACCAATTTAAAAAGCCACCTACCGTAAGCAGGCTTTGAGATCATATTTAAAGGAAGAAAGGCTCATTTCTGTGGGGCTTGACAGAAAGGGATGAGAATCGGGATTTTGTCGATGTCATGTGGATGAGAAAGAAGTGCCTTGATATTGTTAAACAGCACACAGAAATGTAAAGCATGACATTTCTCTACATGAAACTCATTTGTGGGTGCTAAACAATGTGTATGTCTTGAAATTTCTGTCAGTTCAGATCATCGTCATATTTTTATAGAGTAAATCTTCAAGGAATGTTTGACCCAGTTATTACATGGTGAGTGTATGATAATGTACAGTGAAGTCAAAATTATTAGCACTCCTGTGATATATATATTTTTTTTTTCCATACTTTCCAAATAATGTTTAAATTCTTTTAGCCAGCACGTGGACGTACTGGGGTGCTGTTTTTGCATGTCAGTGTTAACGAATAGATTGCTTCAAAAAGAACACAAGTAATCTTGACAGACTATGCATCAGTCTAAAGCTGGAACCCTCAAGCAGCCGTTGTAGCTATAGTTTGTCAATGGAAAGCTTATAAAGAATCTATTTGCTAAATCTGTGTAAGTTGTACAGAAAATGCTTATTAGATATAGAGTATATATCATGCTAATAACAAGATCATAGTTTATCTTGGAAAGTATAGGTTACAGGCATCCCAAGTCTCCCGGAAGTCTCCCGCATATGCATAGGGACTTCTGAATGCCAGCAGACGAATGATAATCTCTCGTAAATCGCGCGTCTTTCCCCCGGTCCTCAAATATGTCGCGCACCCCTCTCCAATGTATTCTTCCCCGCTCGTTGTACGTTGTGCAACCCCCTCCGGCGCTCTTCAAATACATTGCACCACCACCCAACTCCCGCAAATCATGGATGTCCCACAAGGAAAGGACTTTTCCCAACTTGGAATTGCACATTAAATTTACAATTTTCGTCAATAATTTTAAATTAAATTAAATTCGAGCTCACATTGTGTGAATCGTACTGACACACTGCCTCCGAAACATTCTGAACAGTCCGAAATCATTTTTTGTACATTCAGATGACACACACTGTGTGTGTATATACATTTGACGCACTGACATAATCGCCTCCTTGTCCGCTTTAATCGATTGCTCCGATACATCAATGCGGCCATCATCTATTATAATGTCTATAGGTACTGCCAGTGTCTGTTCAAGATTTGTTTCCATATGTAAACGTGTGAACAATCATAAGCAATGGGTCAAAATTCCACTGATATCCTGATATAAACTTTGCGTTTGCGGATAATCTAGCGGAGCTCTTTGATGAGGATAATTCTCCTTCCTTTCTATGTAGTCTAGTATTGGAGGAACACAGCCTATTCTTCTTCCTTGTTCCACTTTGGAGAAGAGAGGGGAGAATAATGTTTCACAGCTTAAATCGACTCTGAAATGTTTTGTTTTGTTTTGTAATAGATTGATTAGAACGCATCAGACTCAGTGTGCTGAGTTTGCTTACATGAGGAATTTTTTGCATATGAATACGAAAAAATTACATCTGAAAATTCTTCAGTGTGCAAAGACCTTAAGAGTCCCTAGATCAACACCCCATTGAACAAATTTACTGTAGTCCACCGACACAATAGTGTTGAATAATGAATGGCTGTTTATTTATGTCAGAGTTTCTTACGGAGACCTGTTGGATACATTGCTTACTATGTTACTAACGTGCAAAAACGGCGTCTTTGTAGTAGAAAGCAAGGCGGTGTCATAGCTTGCAGTGTAACAGATAAAATGAGACCACAAGAGCAAAGAATTTTTAACAGTACTTCCTATAATATTTTTTTTCTTTTGAAGAAATTCTTATTTATTTTGGCTAGAATTAAAGTAGTTTTTGAATTTTTAAAAACTATTAAAAGGTCAATATTATTAGCCCCCTTAAGCATTTTATTTTATTTTTTCTACGATTGTCTAGAACAGGAACGTTCAGACTTGGTCCTGGAGGGCCGGTGTCTTGCATAGTTTAGCTCTAACTTCTTTCAACATATGTCCCTGGAAGTTTATAGCTTGATTAGCTCATTCAGGTGTGTTTAATTTTGGAACTAAAATATGCAGAACACCTACCCTCCAGGACCGAGGACATCCCTGGACATCCCTGGTCTCGAACACAGGTGTCAAATCCAGTTCCTGGAGGGATGCAGCTCTGCACAGTTTAGCTTTAACCCTAATTGAACACACTGGTGTCTTAAAAAGGATAGTTAAATATTATTTACTGTTATCATGGCAAAGATAAAAGAAATCATATATTATAAATTAGTTTTTAAAACTGTTATATTTATAAATGTGTTTTTTTCCGTTAAACAGAAATTGGGGGAAAATATACAGAAGGCTAATAATCCAGGAGGGCTAATAATTCTGACTTCAACTGTGCAGACACTGTGAGCTGCCGCAGTTTGTTTACGGAGATATGTTGCATTGCTCATCAAAAATGGTACATGCTTGTGATTATCCTGGATGCTAAAACCTGTATAACCAAAAAAAGTACACAAACCATGTTAGCTCATGGATGAGTTCGCATTAGCGCTGACATCATAATGTGACATGAATCTTGTGCTCCAGACTGTTGTGAATGCACTCAAGGCTGTTTGCTGAGGTTTTGGATTAAAGGTAATGATGTTGTAACTAATGTTTAACTTCTTGATCAGACTGATTGGTTCACTTTGTAAGATCTCAGTGTATCATCAGGAGCCACAGGTATTCCTTTTGATTTTTTTGTATACTTTGGTTTGTGTTGGGGGGGGAGGGGGAGTGTTCACAAAATGCTGATGACCATTGATTTGCATTTTATTAATCCCCAAGTTTCAGATAAAAATCTTATTTAATGCTCTACTGAAGAAAAAAGTCCCCTAAATCTTATATGACGTGAGGGTAATTTAACAACAAACTGGCATTTTTAGGTGAACTGTCACTTTAAAATTTATTTTTATTTTTTTTCTAATCTTAATTTGATAATAGTTTTATGTAAACCATTGATTGGTTTTTATTATACAGAAGCTCTCCTACACTGCCAAGACTCTTGCTCTGTGTGTCTGAACACAACAAGCCCGATAGCAAATCGTCAAAGCAGATGGGGGAGCACTCCAAAAAATTACGTTTGCTGCTAGCTTAAGCTACTTATTTAAAATAAGCTAAACAATACACTTCTTTAGGTTTTTTTTATTTTTATTTTTTGTCAGACAACTTATTAGTTGTATGTTCAATCAACTTAAATCTTAAAACGTTTATCTGGATTGTACTACAAAACATACCGTAAAGGTTGATTTATACTTCTGAGTCAAGCGCACACTTATGGTCCGGCACAGCCTTTGTGCAGTCACATAGCCATCGCCGTGGCTGATGCCGACGCTGACCCACACCTCAAAAAACTTAACCACGTAGCACAAGCTCTGTGTTTGGTGGGCTTGGTAATGATGACTAGCGTGGGCGGTGCTGAGAGCCGAAAGGCCAATGGAGCGATTGTTTACAAGTGTCGTATGAACGAGCTCCAGATGGAAAGTTTTGCGTTCACCTTTTAGTCCTTGCTGTCTTAAACATCACTTGGAAAATATTTGAAAAGCATCATGATATTTAATATGGTGATCTGATTAACATTTCCGATTATTA